ATTGTGAAGCGAGCGATTACTCAGAGTGTTCATCGGGGAACGGGCTCTCTGTCGGGGACTCCGGCAGGGAACTCGGGGAGCGCTTCCCCCGCGCAATTTGCTCCCCGACTTTTTCGCGGCCCCCCGTGCAATTTTCTCCCCGCGGGGACCCCTCCGCGTCCAATTTTCTCCACGTAGGGACTCCCCCTCCTCCCGGGCGATCCGCTCCCCGACCTTTTCTCGATGACCCCACCCCCCGTCGAGTTTCGCTCCCCGACTGGGAGAACGGGGAGCGCGAACCTTCGCAAATATCGCGAACAATCAACTGAAAATGGTGAAGTACTGCTGCAAAAATTTCAATATTGTCTTGTCTTTGTTTTGAAATGTGAGTGCGAGGTGCACCTGAAAGAAAACTTCTTAAAAAAAGAGGAAAAATCTTTTAAAAATTGTAATTCTGTTTAAAAATTGAGCTAAAATGCTCCCCGTCCTCCCCGTCGGGGAACATGGGGAGCGGTCATTCCCCGACGGGGTCCCCCCCGCGCAATTTGCTCCCCGACTTTTTTGCGGGGATCTCCCGTCCAATTTACTCCCCGCGGGGACCCCCTCGCGCAATTTGCTCCCCGACTTTTTCGCGGGAACCCCCCCGTCCATTTTCCTCCCCGCGGGGTCCTCCCGTGCGAAAAAGTGCCCCCCGACGAACACTAATTACTCTTGGTCATCGTCATGGAACTGATGTAAAAAACGTACAAATAATAGATAGCTATCCTCTATATTTGACAAAAATCGTTCAGCAGAGGAATTTCTGACGTCAGAGCGATAATCCGCTTGATAAGCGACAAGCTCGTTAGAGCGATAAACCCGATAAACCGCGTGGTAAACCGCTTGATAATTGCTCTCGACTATTCCATTCTTTATCGTTATCGTAAACGTACGAGAATCATATGGTCTTCCATGTGAAGTTTCGATCATAGTCATAAGGTTTACAGAGAGAGTATTTACATGATGGAAGAGTATGGTTTGATCGTTGCGTGTAGTTTGCTCGACAAAACAGTCATAAACAATTTTCTTCAGGAGTGCTTTTGCACTTCAATGTAATTAATCGAAGAGTCTTTCCCTACGAAAGATAATGATGGACTACAATTTAGGCCAGGATTTCGAACCATCGTTCCATAATAGATAACTATCCTCTATCAACAGCATTTGAGAGGGTCAGTGCTGGATGTTCTCAAATTTAATACTTTTCACTTCTTACCTTTCTGACAATCCTTCCATCCAAATTCTGCATTCTGCACGTCTTCCAAACGCACTTTTTGATTACAGGTGAATGTGGGACGTGGCTTATGCCGCTAACTTTTTACGATTTCTGCGCTCCCTCTAGGGACCACCATAATTCATTTGCAGCTTATGAGAAGTTGTCTTTTCTTTCACTATTGTTCATTTAATAATCGATGTGATGTCAGAGATTTTGCTGAATTATATATTTCATGTTCAGTGCCGAATGGTTTCATACAGTGATCACTCTACCAAGTTCGTATCTGCATCATAATGATCATTAGCTGCTAGCGTGAGATTTGGCAGGGGAATTGACAACTGGTAAATCGTTTCTCCCTTTTAAGCAAGCAATAAGTGCGATTAGATTAAAAACATGACAATTCGGTTTTTTGGATTTCATTTGTAGATGTTCGGTGGATATGACATCATCACAAAGAGTTGGTTAAAAAAGCGTCTTTGTAAACAAACGGCGCTGAGTCATTGTTTGCTGAGGCACTTTCCTGAAGCAATTGAGAAATCAATCCCATCGTGATTCCCACACTGATTTACAAGCAGTTGGTTCGATTTTCATTGATCGTTCAAAGATTATATCATTTGAACAACGTTACCTCTTGACCATGATTTCGAACATTTGAAATGCTTTTCACTGAATGTCACGTGTTATTCACATGTAACCTTGCGTTATCTCATTCCTTTTTTATGTCATTTCTACTAGTCGAGAATATTCTCGACAATTTTAATGGTTCAGTTCATCGATCATCATCAGCTAACCACTTCCAAGCGCTTCAAAGCTGAAGCATAAACTTAGTTTTTCAGTCGTACAGTACCGAAACTGATGAATGTTGCTCACATTTTCATTGTGTTGATTTCGTTTTTTTTTGCACTTCAGACAGCAGTGTTCATTCTCTGATCAGCAATACAACTCGTTGGGATGCTGAACGCATTGTTCTCTTTCTTCACCACTTCAACTTTCGATCATCACTCAATCACAACACTTAATAACATTTCATTCAGTCATTCACTTCAATCGCTTTTATCCTTTTCTCGTTGATTTTTAGTTGACTCGATAATATGTTTGCTTATTTATTGCTTTTCAACTTACATCATTTCTTTACTCGATTCGATTGATGAGAAATCATCACTTTTGTCACGAAGGCATGAACTTGCCTTTGTTCTGTGCTGTTGATTATCGAAAATCATTGAATTTTGTTGATAAGCAAAAACGATGCCGAATAAACCTTGCATAATCTTAGATCGCGAATCGCTTCTTCAGTCTTGTGAACTCGAGCTGTCCAGAATAACTGACGAATGTCTTTCATCTTGAGAATTCATTCCTGTTGAATTTTCCCTCTATCGATGTGCTTTCAAAATTAATTTCGAATGAACTGATTCCACTTTTTCTTTTCTTACTTATCGAAATAAAATATTTACGAATCAGTTCGTTTGCTCGAATTGGTTATTGTATCGTTGTGGCAGATGAACTTTATATCAGCTCAATATATCGCAAAAACCAATCAATTTCGTTTAAGACTCTCGTTTCGCCGACAAAATTTCGGCTCTGAATATCGATCAAGACGACACCCGTCAATACAGCGTCTTCGAATCTGTGCAGCCCGATTTCGATGGGTTATTGTCAATATGGTACGGAGATTGTCGATCGACCACACGTGATCAAAACTTCGTTTTCGACCTCTGAATCGGCACGCCCCATGGCATCCACATCATTTCAAAATGTCCTGAACATCTCACCATCTACATCCGACTCCCTCCCAAATCCATCTTTCCAATCGTCAAACAAATACGATTTCATTGAACCAAAAATGGAACTCCCACTATCACCAGTTCCAGTGTTTAAACCATCCGCACAAGAATCATCACCGAAATCACAACGTTCAGCATGTCTGTTATTATTTATCCATTTGTTCGTTTCGAAGCGCTACTCTTTGTTTTGAACAACTGATAACCGGAATTCCATCTGTGCTCTTTAATAAAACGGCCAAAATTTTTGTAGTGCATGGTCGTTGAGTAGCATGTTGATGATTGAATTTAAACTGACAAAGAAGTAAGGGTAGATTTCCATCGTGAACTGATTCGAAATAACAGGCGTTAATATCACTTATTTGGTTCAGTTTTTTGCAATGACGAGTGCTTTTCCTAGAATTGAGTAGTTCCATGAACCAAATGCTAAAATGCATGAGCTTGAAAAGCTCGATTTGACAAAATCATCCAGGTTACCTTGTAATTAGTTTTTTTTTCAAGTGGAAAAAGTGGTAAGCATTTTGTGATACAAAAGTTGTTCGCTCAAAATTAATGGTTCAAGGGGGAAAATTCGGTTCGCGAGTTTCTGATGAGTGCCTCAGAGAACTTTCGATGCAGAGTGCGTTAGGTAGCATGGTATAACCTGAAAATTCTCTCAACATAATCATCGGAATATCATCACATAAATTATCCGTGAATTTTGATTTTTTATGTTTACTTTTTTTTAACTGAACGATAATCGACATCGTTGTTGACTGAGTGTTAAAAAGTTCATTCGATTCATTGATAACAATTGATAGTTTAAGATGACGCATCACATCTTTATTGATTTATTGATAATCATGATAAAAAAGCTCTTCTTTCGCATTTCTACCGTCCTATCCAACGAACTTACCCAAGTAAGACGTTTCTTCGCTAGCGTCGTCCTTCATTCAATTACACACCACAATCAATTGTCTTCCAAACTTCATTTTTTGCACGTCCTCGCAAGTATTCTCGTGATAAAACTCGCCACTTAAGGTTCACTCAAGTGCCCCATAGTACATCACTACTAATGCACTTGTCGTCACATGATAGAATAATGACAGCATTTGATAGCCATCTTCTTCAGTAGTAAAAACTTTTCGTAACATTGCGATGCTATTGAGCGAGTCGTCACAAATCGCAAGCAAATTGTAGGATTAAGCGACGCTTAAAATGTGTTTACCAATTGAATCGGCCAGTTGCCAGTCTGTCAACGTTTTGTAACTATTCCGCCAATCCTTATCATTTGAGCCGAATGGATTTAGTGTGACCATGGTCAAGAACCGATGCGATGGTCAATGTTTCGCATTTTTATGATTCTACGTTCAATATTCCGCACACAATCCCAAATCGTGATTATTGTTTCAGCAATGAAATGTTTTTTCGCAAAATATTAGCGCAGTTTCTTGGCGAAATTTTGCACATCTTCGTCCATAAATAGTCATTCTAATTCACCTTTTTCGAATTATAAATTGTTTGTGTCTGCTGCTCTGAGGCTGTACACCAGGCTTTGGCATGTTCCGATAGGAAGGAAGTGTCAGTGAAAAATATAAAGTCAAATAATGAAAGTGTAGCGTTTTTGCTCACATTCGGAGTGATGCTCCCATTAAGGATCTTTTTTTTGGTAATCCGCTGATCGCTTGATTCGATGATCCGTTTTGGGTTTGAAGATCTGAAAATGTAAAGATCCCTTTTGTCAGTGGTTTTCTTTTCATTTTCAAGATGATTTGAAGAGGTATACTGCCTGAATTGCAACATTGTTGTTTCACTTTCAAGATCATTGTTTCATTAAAGTAACTTAAAGCCGTTGTAATCAATGACGAAGTAAATCAAAGTACATAGCTTGTCCATCACAGAGCACAGTACGAATTCGTCAAGAGATGTGCCATCCCATCACGATGTACAAATTGTTGAAGTGTTGAACAAAAAAGTCATTCTTCAAACTTTCAGTGAATGATTGGATTTTTTATCAGCACCGAAGTACATTAGCAATGAATAACAGTTGTTGCAGTGATGAAGTGTCGCGTTTGTGGGGATGCCCGTGCTGGGCGACACTATGGCACGATTGCATGCAATGGCTGTAAGGGATTCTTCAGGCGAAGGTTCGTGAATATTTGCGGCAATTCTTATTCGATTCTCACCTAATTTAAGTCATTGAAAATCTGCGGATACCTGCACGTAGCTTTGAATGGGGAATTCGTAATCGTCTTCAGTTAACAATGGTAGAAGCTGTAATTGTTCAAAGAACCAGATCGAGCATCAATCGATTGCAAGAAATATTTCCGAGATTCATTTGAGCATCACGAGGTCAGTGAGCCACTTTGAAACCCATTCTCTCGGCACTAACATGTTGAAATGATATACTGTAGTGCATCGGTTGTATAGGAGAAGTACTGGGTACAGTAGCATCCTTCGATTGAATTGGGAATGAAACTTGCAACCAACAATTCGTGCCGTCAACAGAATGAAGTGATTTTTGTACGGCCACAACATCTGGTAACTGTCGGGGTATCTGGCACATTCCGGGTGATGTCTGGCTTACGGATTTGCACCATCGCTGAAACAGAATGAATCTATTTTTGAAACGTAGCTGAGTTCTTCCAAAAAAGCAGCGGTTTGTAATATGCAGTTCACGGAGGATGGTAGGACGGTGAAGAGTGGCGTTCGAATGTTCGTCAGATCATGTTCATTGGCCCCAGCCGTCTCGTTTGGGAACAACGCCTAAGAATACCATACAAGCATTGCTAGCAAAGAACAAAGTCTAATTAAGCTTTGTCAGTTGACATCGATAACTCTGAGTGCACTCGAACTTATAATACTACCGAAGTTCAGTGAACCATGATCCTTTCCACCTGCATTTACAACCAACATGATTTGATGAATTGAAGAGCATTCAAAGGTTCTGTTGCGGAAACTTAAAATAACTCGCAGGTCAAATCAGGCTCGTGGATCTTCTCAAGAAATTTTATAGGACTTCTAAAGTGCGACTAAAAATCAAGCCTTTTAATTACAATGTCAAAAACCACGGTTTCTAGATACTACATTGATTTAAACGCAATGCAATCAGATTATACGACATATTAATAGAAGCATCGCCATTTTCAGTATTTGGGAACAACGTGAATACAGTTGCCGATTCGGAGGAAAATGTCAAGTAGTGCAAGGTTTGTTTGAAAAAAATCATAGGCAGAAAGAAAAAGTTCCGATTTTCCTTCTTGGAAATAGTTATTTTTCGCCGAATACTTAATTTGAAAATGTTTCTCGGAAAATACTCATTCTTCACGTCAGAAGAAATTGATGATCGAGTTAACTAAGTGCTTCGTTGAGCAACAGTGTTATTTGATGTTCTCATAAGGAAACACTTCTGAGATAGGCCATCAAAAAGTTTATGTTGTCAGAGAGCAGTTGTTCACATCAATAATCGAACAACAAATCTTCAATGGTAACCAATCGTCACCTTTGATAATTCAAGCGTCAATCCTGCATAAAGAATTGAAAAATTTTTGCTACACAACGAAATTGCATACATTTAACCCGGCCTAATTGGATGACCAATGAGATTTTCAATTCAGTCGATCATTATTTTAATCGTTTATGGATTCTGTTACCTAACGATTGTATTACACGTATTGCATCGCACAGAAAAAAATTGAACAGCAAAAAATGCTCTCTCACCATTGCTGGATAGGCGACGCTGATAAACAGCAATGAAATTATTCCTTTCGAATTATCAAAATGCTCATTACTCTTTATAAAATCATCGGGGTCGAAGATGTCGTAACGAAGGAAATGAACGCCAAAAACTGAGTCAGTATGTGCGTAAATGCACGAAAAATTTCCTCTCCATTGATGCGACTTATGAAAATACTCAAATTCTAGCCAATCCACACCATCTTTTCATCGCAAAGATTTTGGAAAAGCACTGCTCACTTAGATGATCAACTCTGAAAGGCTCAAGTATGCATGAATTTGAATGCTGTTTTTTTTTTTNAAAAAAACATATATACATAATCGTCATCAAATCAATTAGTTTTTCCTAACTAACAATAAGAAATGTTTGAGTTATATACAATAACCATTGTGCGTTACCAAACTCGAATATATTCACACGATGCTCCATTTTGAATATACCATTTGCAATATTGCGACTGTAAAATGGAATATTTAAGAGAAATTTTCGAGCAGTACGATTCGAGAAAGATTCCCCGATGTGCCAATTAGTTTACTTTGCAGCTTCGATTTTACTTAGAATCTATGCGCTTCAGCAATCGGTTTTAATGAAGCGAATAGCTTGCAGCAGTCATGAAATGATCGATTGATTTAGCAATGCTGCAAGTGAGAGCATATTTCAGCAGTTCAAAGTGAACGCGACAAGCACAAGAAGAAACCGTCACATTCATCATCGTCAACGAACGGCGATGACAATGCTTCACCAATTAGCGCTGCTTCGTTCAGTGATACGATGCCAGTCTGTAAGTTACTTCTTCGAAGTTGAATTGAGCATCCTTTTTAGAATTCGATTCAAACACCCTCGTTCGATGAACTGACACCCTCATATTTACATCAGCCCGAATCAATACTTAGGTTATTGAAATTCCACACTTTTGATATACTCCACATTTTAGTTGTTCTGTTCCTTGAGTCTATTTTGGAACTATTCTGTTCCTTGGAATTGGACACGAATAGAATAGTTTGAATGAAATAGAAACATCACTAACCTGAGCTAAGCAAAATTCTATCGCTCTTTCCGGTGATTCGAATAACATCAATTTTCTGCCGCACTCATTTATTCCAATTTATAGTTCCTTCGATGACGTTTGGTTATTATAAAACTGTTAAAGTAAACCAGTAGTTTGAAAAGGATGAACGCTAAAGTCTCATCATTCGTGAAATGTCTTTGTCGTAGAAGACGATCTTTCGCTACCTTTCAATATAAGAGTACATTGATAAAACTGTATGCATTTCATGCACTATCAAATGCCATAGGAAGTGTCCTAGTGGAGAAAGCGAGCGCAACAGAAAACTGATCTGAAGCAACATACCGAAAATAACGATAGAATTTGATGCTCATCCCAGGGATTAAGCATTCTGTGAAATAACTTTTTAGCCCACGGAACTTTGATGCTACAGTTTCAAACTGATAGCAGTTCAAGTTCGTTTGGCCCAATTGATTGCGATGAGAATTCTCAAAATTGGACACCATTCCACTGAATAGAGATTTAATATTGATTTGCCTGTTGCTGAATGCCCAAAATGAATTGCTTTGTTTTGCAGCGCTTTTACCGTCAGCAACGTCGATTAGTTGCGCAAGTCCTTCTATAACACAGCCTTCTTCACAAGGTTCGTTCTTATAAATCGTTAACTAATGAGGTGAACATTCGATGACGTGTCTCGGTGGTGATAGTTTGTTGGAAAGACTTCTTACTGTTTTAGCTGACAACTTGGCGAAGTAATCAAAAAATGATTCGAACGAACGCAGATGATTGCACATTTCACGCAGACATGATTAAACATCCGTTATTTGATGATTTAATGTCAAAAAACATTTTCCATGGTTACTGTATCGATAACTCAGTCAGTGTTGATATTCAGTAAAGAAGTTCGATTAGTTCTCTTTTATGCGATAAGTCATGCTTTCATAAATTGTTAGAGAAACGAATCTGGGATCCAGCGCTCAATCAGTACAAAGTGATACGAACCACACCTTTGCCATTTCCTGGTTGTGTATCTCGAGCTTATGCTGAAACGTTGAGTAGCGGGATGGACAAGGCAGAAAACGCGTTAAAATCATCATCCCCTGTCAGTGGTGCAGGAGCCTCCTCCCCACTGCCGCGATTAATGTGCGATTCCACCGAGTCAGTGGATAAGCCGAATCCAGAGCAAGGAAAATATGAATTTGATCCAGAAGAATCCTTGATTGCGAGGCATCCTCTTGTCGCCTATCTCATGCGGCTGGTAAAGTTCAGTTCGTTCTTTGGCCTGCTACGGTAGTTCACGATTACTTATATCATCACCTTTTTACTATCGCAATTCTGCTCATTCCGTTCCACTGTCTGTGAATTATCAATGTGATTATTCAAAAATCAGATGAAAACCCACTTAAACCCTCGTCTATGAAAACAGTGCCATAGTACATAAATATTTTGTTTAAGAGCGAAATGTTTTGCGGATGTGAATGAAAATGAAATGAACCGTTAACATATAAGGTCAGAGGAATCTTATTGGATGCAAACTGCCCTCTCATCGATTCTATCAATATCAAATTTTGGGTTATTTATTAAACACTGTCTTAGGAGCGTATATGTGATAATTTGCGTGATCCAAAGGAGGAGAGTGATGTCACTATTACGAATGAATTCGATAAACTTTGTCGAGTAGATGTAACTATCGAAACCGCATTACGGCAGCCGGGAATCGTCGCGAAACGAACACCGGTAAGGCTGCTGCAATTTAGTCTAACTACTAGTTGCACCATAGCACGTTGGACTAGGTCTAATTCCCTCTGCAATGATCACTCAACGATCACATGTTCCAAACGGAATACACGCTGTTTTCAATCATATTCGATGAAACGCGCTGATTGCAGAAATAGTTCATAGAAATTCGTATGGTTCTTTGTGTAACTGTATGAAGTAACCTCACATGAAATGGCAATGTTTCGAAAATCATCACAATCATCAACCAAGTTTGTACGCTGCATTAATATGGTTTGGCTGTCACCATCGTTATAGCAGTTCTACTCCACAGAAAAAATACTTCTCGCGAGGCTTGAATTGAAACAGATCAGCTGAAATCAATGCCCTTCATCAGCATAGCCAGCCATTTTCAAAATCAATGCATAATTTCACTGAGCCGTACGAGCGCAAATGATCAGCGCAACTCACTAATTTTGCAACAGTACAAATGTAACGATTCGTCGAATTTGCAAATTGCCAAGTGTGCTGTCATAAAGCGAATCACATATTGTTTCGCATTAACTTTCTCGGCTTTTCATCGAAATCAGTACCGTTTCCGTTGGAAACGATAGATATTCAGTTCACCACATTTGAGGCAATAATCACGTCATTTCAAACTTTTGGTTGAAGACGGAAAAATTGCAACAATAATTACGAGATGACAGCAACATTATAGGCAGTGCACATGCTACACACTGTTCTTATGAAAACAGTCCAACAGCAACATGTGCCTTTCGAAACAATTGACTGTATTCACTAATTTTGCAACTGTTACTCGTTAAGCCGAGGTGGACGGCGGAGCGCTTAACAACAACTGACGATGTACATATTGGGTGGTGTCGTTCATTCGTACTTTGCGTTGACTGGGCAATGATCATGGAGGATTACAAGGCACTGTCACTCTCCGATCAGGTGCAGTACGAAAATGAATTCGGTTCCGTATTCGCAACCAACTGTTTCAGTTCAAAAAGCAATCACATTTCATTTCAGTACACACTGTTGAGGAATCGTGTCGTGAGTGTTAATTGGTTAGTGCACACCTACAAGACGTTTCGTGCTGGTTGCGATGGGGTTGCGCTCGTGAACGGCTCTTATTATCCACGAGATAAGCAACTCCAAAAAACAATGTCGCCTGGGTCAGCGTTCTTTGTTGATAATTTCGTGCTGAACCAGTTTCATAGCACCGTGATACTTCGTGTGAATCTTACTGAATTGTCGGCATTTCACTCCAAGTTTGTAATTGATAAGAAAAAGTTCATAATTGTTAGTTTGATCATATATTGCTTGCACACCGACAATAGTAGTTTGCAAGCAATATATGGTTAAAGGAAGTTGTTTTCGATCGCAAACGCCCTTGCTAGAATGGGGAGTCAGGCAACAGATGGTGAAATTAATATCCAATGATAGATGAGTATCTAATTTTTCACTGAAAAGTGATGTTGTCATTCGAGAGGGAGTGACAGTGCAATATAGTCAAGCTCTGTTGAATGACTGAATTACATGATCAGATGCATTATAGTACTGTTAAAATACATATTATTGCATAATAATGATTAGGTTAGTCACCCTAAAAGAATTTTTTGATAAGAAAGCGTTTACAAGTACAAGATGACGCTCAAAATTAAATTTTGTGATGTGCACGCGAATTCACATGGAAAAAAAANAAAAAAAACGGTTTTGTAGTATCAAATTGGTCAAGTGTTCATTTCAGATCAAAAAATTCGTTGAGCTACAAAATATGAATTTTAGATGCATTCACTACTTTGGTGTTCTTAGCGAGCATCTGATGCAAGACCTAGTATTTCCAATGCGTGAAATGAATATGGACGAAGGAGAGTTCTGCCTTCTGAAAGCACTGCTTCTATTCACTGTAGGTGAGTAATTAATCGTGAATATGTCATATCTAAGTCATTTTCGAATTCAACGTTCGAAGAAAATGCGGTTGATCGTTCTTGTTCACATTCAGATCGAAGACTAAGTGATGAGGGTAAACGACATGTCAAAATGGTTCGTGAGAAGTATATAGATGCAATTTATGAACATATCAGTATTCAACATCCTCAATTCAGCAACGCTCAAATTGCTAATCGTATCGCAAAGTTATTCCTTCTACTGCCAAGCATCACCGTTAGTGATCTGTTTAACTAATTGAAGGTATCTTTTGTTTCGATGAAGTTATCGTGAAAGGGAACTGCTTTATTCGAATACTTTCAGCATCTCTCACAACAAGAGGACGACAACGTACAATTTTTAGCGCTTTTTAACTTAGCCAATCTGAACGGGTTACCGTATGAGTTGCACTCCTCAATCAAACAAATGATTCGTGCCGAAATGGAATCCACAATTGGTTTACAAAGCAACAATGCTCCTCACGATAATAACACTCCCAATAATACTCCTAATGATACAACTGATGATTCAATCGATACTGATGATGCTAATAATGATCATAAAAGTCGAGAGGATCAACCTAATGACGATTCTGATAAAATGCAGTTCTGAGTTCACAAAACCTCATCGCTTTCCGTTAATTCATCTTCTAATTTTTTCCACATTATCTGATAATTATTCAATGTTCGAATGAAAATTTTTGGCTTATTAACTTGGCTGAAGGTCTTTATAAGTGTCTCTTTAGGGTAGTTTTTGTGTTCTTTTGTACATGGAATTCACTTTAATCGTCCTTAATATCAGTCGCGTGTTACATTCCGTTCGCTACAGTTATGCATTCGTGCATCAGGCAAGCGTGTGTAGAGACTTCTACTAAACAGACTTCTATTCGTTAATGAAACGTGAACTTGGTTGTTTTTTTAAGTTTCGCGAGCATAGGCTTTTTCGATATTCGATTTGTATGTGTTCTAGGCATTTATTATGAGCAAAATGATTCAGCTGCCGGATGAAATGAATTTTTGCGGTTTTTTCTTTCTTGCCTTTGTTTTTTCCACATTAATGTATTTCGGGTCAGTGAGACCATTATCGATTGCCTCAGCTAATTCCAGTTTGTCTTTTCGCTCTTTTTCCGTTTTTGAAATTATTTGTAATAAACTGATTATAGATGTGTCAAGTAAGCACTCACCTAAACTTCAGAGCAGAGTGAAGAGAAGTTGATGACTAGAAGAGATGAAAAATTTGATAAGAGATGAATTTTGGTACACGCCCTTAACCAACAGTAGAAGAAGTAAGAACCTTTTCTGGACGACTCTAATGAAAGGTCATCAGTTCATAAATAAAATGGAATAATTGGAAATAACTAGATATAAAATAAATAACTATAAAAATAAAGTATAAAAATAACTAAATATAAAATAAATGTAAAATAACTATAAAAATGGAATAATTCTTCAAAAACCACACACTATCATCGTAACTATCAAAGAAAACAATTTTAAAAAAACACTAGAACGGCATTTTCTTCCTTGCTTTCATCTCACCAAGCTAATAACTGGCTTCTTGACAAATATTCTAGAAGAGACTTATGCCGGAGTACTGCAAGACTGAACGAAATTCGATTTCCCTGAAGAAGTTATAAGCACTGCTTGCTAACAGGTAACTTTCGGATCGGAAATGATGCAGTTTCAAACGAAGCCACATTCGAATATTACTTTCGCGGATCGGTGTGAGCAAACGATCGAACATAAGGAGAAATGTTGGAGAAAACTTTAATGCAAGAACAATACGAAATTCGGAAAAAATTACAGTCAATTAGCGATTATTCGAACTATAAACTGAATAAAAGAACCGTTAGTAGTTCTATAACTATTGAGATATTTATCTCTAGGGAATAAATTAAGCATAATGAATGAAAGTATTTTATGTATTTTATGAGTTAATGAATGTAAACCATGAAAACTTTCGGAAATGAGTGTTATTTACCGAGACAAATACGAAAATATTCATTCCCAGTTTTGCCTCTGAACCAGTTGTTCAGTGCAACGTATTGGGTGTACTCCATCACTCAGGAAGAAGATTTTTTGGTGGAAAGAATTTTATTCATTCACAAATCTATCATGCAATTCATCAAACTGCTCTTGAGGACTGGTTTTCTACAACTATTCACTTCGGAGTTGATATCTGTATGCGAATCAAGCTCGCGATTTACTGATAGATGAAAATATGATACAATTTACTGATGAAAAATGATACAAATATTATAGCAAACTTTATGCATCAGGCAATACCCTAAATAATTTCCACATCATCAATGGAAACCAAAGTGTTCTTGAGAACAGTGAATTGAAATCATCAACGCAAACCAAAGTGTTCTTGAAAACAGTGAATTGAACTAGCAGATATCTTGAGTTGTGGTAACATGAAGAAATATATAGCCACCTCAAATCCAAATGCATTCCACTTACCTCAAAGGAAGCAGCACTTCTCATCGTTGTCACTGAGAATCAATTCAGTGGTCATTTTGCTGTTATAAAAGCTTATGCACCCATTCTGCTATTAGCTTCATTCAGGTGTTGTTGAAGTAATGAGAGTTTGTATCCTGTTCACTCTCAGCTACTGACGTTCAGCAGATCAATTCAATTTAGAACGAATCGATGAAGAAACAATGTGTTAGAATTGATTATCGAATGAAGCAGATCGGCCAGGTGGTAGTCATTGATGTTGGTAATGAAACAAGGAATGTGCTCTTTGTGGAATAGCTCAAACCTTAAATACTATGGGAGTGTGTGTGCATAAACACCTATGAAGTGGTGCAGGAAATGAAAAATCAACAACCATCGCTTTAAGAACTTTTGAAATTTTGGTCTTTGTGCTGACTGGAGTGAATGAACTTGTGAAATGAACGTCGTTTTGCACGTGTCGATCAACTGCATTTTGTATGTTTTGCACTTATCGTCACGCAATTCATTGCAATGACGCCTTTTCAACGGTTCCAAAAATCAAACAATTGTTCGTCATTAAATGCAACATCTTGCTGCTGTGATTCGATAACATAGGTATTCAAGTCATTGTTTGTGCATTTTTTCACTGCCGTAATACTGTGGGAAAGAGGCACCCTTGCGACCTCAGAAATTTGAGGAGCCCATCTCCTCTGGTTTGCCCATAAACATAGGGATATTGTGGTATCTTGGAATCAAGAAGAATCTCGACATTCTGAAAATATATTGTATCCGAGCGAATATGCTCCTTTGCTCAGATACTTTTGATTCACTGAAAGTCCAGAATTTCTGGCCAAAGATTAATACCTACTTCCGTTGAATACATCGCACCTCTTGATTATTGCCCTCAACCTCAGCTTCCGTTTCATTGATACCGGCATCACTTCGTTAAACGTTTGACATCAAATACGTGAAGATGCAAAACATAATACTGACAAGTGTCCGGTTAAGATTGGATTAAAGGTAGCCTCACAGCCGGCACTGTCATCCGGTCTATGTGATGACATTTGAAAACAAACAGTCCACTCCACCACACTCTCAAATTCAGACGGTCTTCATGCAGCGATCCAAACAATTAGCAAAATCTCGTATTCACACAAACTATGACCACATTTTCTCGAGCTCCATTTTATGCTCGCTGATTCCTACTCACCCGTGATCTCGTGCGTTTGAACCGATACCTAATCGTAAAATTTTGCAGACAGAACTCATCCAAAAGGCAACCTTTCCTTATTTTTATCCTTACTGAAAAAGCTTCTCCTATTTCCTGGGGTAAACAAACACCATCAAATTTTTGAAGCGAACATGAATTGTTTTATAGATTTCTTTCATTTCTCAATTTGCTCACTACCTACATCTCATCATTTTTTAGCTACAATTAAAGTCCCCATATCACTGAGACTTTTTCTGCATTTTCAATTGCAAGATGGAACTGGATGAGGACACTTTCATTTCGCAGACCAAAAAAATCGCGGTTACACTGTCACGCAATTCTTGCAATCATCTGGATCCACTCAGTGATCGTTTGATAGACGTCAATTAAATTCTTCATTCAAAATTAATGCCTCTTCATATTCTAAGAGCAAAATTTGTGCACTAGCTGCTATAATCATTTGGCTGCAAGCTTATATATATAGGGTAATTTTCCAGGTATCTTCACGATCCCACGTATAAATTAGTGAAATATAGATAACTTCAAAACTGCAAGAAAGCCTTGCTCGTGAGATACTTATGATGCCAACGGCAAATCCTACACACGTGGATACTAATCCAAGCATGCAGACAACCATGTTCAGTGTATTTCTAGGTTGTTTAACTCTCATAGTCATGATTTGAATGGTATCATTCACATCACAGAACACGCAAAGATGAACCCAACATCGAGTGTCACGATCAAATACAGAGTTTCATCATCTGCTCTCCGCTGTATGGAATGAGTTGAATGTGCTGCTGGAGACATCATAATTCATTCAACAACATTTCACGTCTCATATATGCGCGAGTAAAATTCTTGTGTCTCATTTGAGTATTCCTGAATTACTCGCCCATCCCACGTTTACATTTGAACTCACAATTATTCCACACTGATATCGTGCAACAGCCCACTCGAATCAAATTTACATTTCTTTTATGCGATAATGAGATATGATCATTCATTCGAATGTTGCATTCATCTTTTAATCACGGAATTTGCTCATTAAGTTGTCAGTTCAAGTGCGCATCAAGCGGTTTTACAAGTGAGTTCCTTAATCGTCTCTTGAATCATTGACGACGAGGTGGCGTTATTTTCTTCCAATATCATTGCAGTCATCTCAAGCATCACCGACCACAAGATGACGTAATTTCGCCAGATATCATTCCACTTCTCAGCCTGTTTCACATTTTATTGCATTCCTTCAGTTGTTCCCACCGCTACATTCCGAGCTGTCCTGCTCTGATCCGTTTTGCCGTCTCAATTTTAACGTTCTCTTCTATTCCGGAAGCAATAATTTTCGAAACTTCTCTGTTCCACTATGTCATTTAAATTGTTTTGTTTGATTTCTATTCTACGACGGTTGCATTTATTTCCAATATATTCGATTGTGAAGAAAATTCAGCTCCTCCATATTAACCCCCGGTTCTACGCTTTTCGTTTCTGCTTGCGAAAGTCGACGATAAGGTCAACTGATGTATAACTCATTAGTTTTTGCTCGATGATTGATGCTGGATGTCTGTCATCAATCACGATTTATTTGCCATTTATGAATCAAAAAGTCAAGATCAATGAAGTTGAGCACGAGTGATGCTGACCTCAGTGTGCAAGGGAAGAGAACAATCAATACCTTGGTTGTTGGTTGTCGACAACCGTGATCCTCGAGCACGATGCCTCCAGCGCAAGCAGTCACGGGATCAACTTTTCTTGAGATGTTTATCGGCATATTCCGTCGTATACAATTCTCATTGACTGGTATCTGGGGCTCGTTCTATCTTTGGGGTGAACTCTTATTCCTTTCGGATGAAGTCTTTCCTCTCCCGGGATAGGCCCCAGAAGGAGTCTTCGATGAAATAGGTATCTGGGGAGTTAGATCAGAATCGCTCGACTGCTCACATACAAACATCCTGCACCGCCCATCCTCAAACATAAGTAAACGCTCTACTCTAGGGATAGACATCTACTCATAAATGAAGGAATAATGCTAGTGTCACGACTAGTCGCGCTACTAATATGTCAGAATAATAACAAAATGATACAGCAAAACTTAGATGAATACCTTTCGATATTTTTGATCATTGTTGGTTTTTGTTGCTGGTTAAGGATAATATAATCATTTGATTGGTTATTAATTAAGTTTTTCAATTGACTGATTATTATTATTATTGTTATTGTTATTATTATTATTATTATTGTTATTAATATTATTATTGTTATTATTGTTATTATTATTGTTTTTAATATTATTGTTATTATTATTATTATTATTATCATTATTATTATCATTATTATTATTATTATTATATAATTATTGGACCAGCTATTAATTTTATTGGTATTGTATCATTTGCTCATTGAACTCCGTTTGAATGCATTGATGAATTTATGAATTCGCGAATTAATGATATTATCATTTGGATTCAATTACCCAAGTTATTAATAAACAATTTGATCAGAAGCACGAGTCGTTACAGTGAACCCGGAGTAGGGTTTGCAAAATCCCGACGATTTTTCAATCCTGGGATCGGGATTAAATCCCGGGATCGATTTTTGATCCTGGGATCGAACAATTATTGAAATATCGATGCGGGACATGTTTAAACACTTTTTTCGAACCAATATGTTCATTATTAATCAGAAAGGAGCTAATTCAACAAATTATTGAACAAATCCAAGGAACTAAGTATTCAAACTCAAATTAATATTTCATATAATGATGCTAATGATCATGCCGCAAGGGCATACTGCATATTCTATGCTAAGGCATCTTGTCATCTCGGGTCTAAGCTAATAACAGTACACTTGCATGTGAATATGAAATTCTTGATTCTCAAACACTTATTTGCAATGCTTCAAGTCCATTTTCTCTCAGTATAAACGTCACCTAAATTCTGCTGTTTCGGAAATTTCGATTTTTTACGGAAGAAATGCACTGCATGAATTATATCATTTGAATTTTGAAATAATTAAAAGTTCGAAGTTTATCAAAAAAGGTAAAAAAATATCCGCAATGAATTTTCATCGAACCATCGAGCACTTACATATTTGATAATTTCGATCAAAAATTATGCAAATCTGCTTGATATTGAAGCTTAAGATCCTTTTGAATGGAACAACTTTGCTCACTTCGGCAATAAATTCTCACTATGAGTGAACTCAATGAGAATTTACGCACATTTGATCGAATGAAAGCGTTTCCAAATAGCGAAGTAAAAAGACTCGCAGTCTTTGGAACATGCAGTTGAATTAACAGATGGAATATTGAAGCCGAACAAATCTTGTGGGAGGAAACGACTCAAAATTTCATTGAACTTTGTTGCTCTTGGTTTTTATTAGAAAATGTGATTATCTCTGTTAGTCTATTACATAAAAATGCATTCAGATGAGGGTGATACAAACCAATGAAGAGCAGAATAATCAGTTGAATATTCAATGAAATGTTACGTAAAAGTTCATCGAGCTGTCGTTGATCATGTCATTCGTCCGAATTGCGTCTATTTCCTTACCTGAACATCAATGATAAAGGGCAAACAGCAAAGATAACTGCATATAAATTAGATGGGAATGACTAAGGCTTGCTTTAAGACGGGCATACTATCAAAATTAACACAAGTTGACCTGTTTTATCAAATTCCAAAATCCCGGGATTTTTCAAAACTTAAATCCCGGGATCGTAATCGGAACTGTAATCCCGGGATCCCGTGCAAACGCTAACCTGGACCAGGTCACTTTCTTTTGGAAGCGAACACCTTTCGCAGAGGGTCTGTCTTTGGCTATGGGCACACTTGCCTTTTTGAGAATCTATTTAGTGGGAAATGTTACGTCCTTTGCTTTATTTTCGATTTGATCCCCTCAGCTGAGCTAATAAGTAACGCAAGCAACAGTTTCGTTATATTACTCCGGCTGAAATTTTAGATTCGGATTTTTCCACAAGTAAAAGTTCTTGCAGTGCTTTCCGCTTCCAGAAAATATGTTCACTTGGGAATTTATCTTGCAAATAATTCGCCGCAATACTGTCTGTTGGTTGGTTTTCTTTCACAACTGGCTAGGAGGATTTGAGATCAGTTTCAGTTCCCATTCATGCTTTTCCTTGTCGAGAAATGTTAATTAGCAGAGCTGTTACTGATTCATTTATGAGTCATCAAACTGTAGGTTGCATTTACAGCGATTTTTCTTAACAGAGGCAATAATGTCGTGAAGTGGGATTTTGATTTGGACAAGTGATGAAGAGGAATTGGGTATCCATCTACTTTTTCAAAAGGTCTCTCAAAAGGTGTATTGGTCGAAAGTGGTTGGGAAACACCGATTTATGGTCAAATGCTGCTAATTTAAGCGTAGTATGATATGCATTCTGTGGTGTTCCTCGTTTGTTGCTGTAGTGAGAGTATGGCGGATGAAGCTCGATTGCTGTCCATCGTCAACATACAGTTGATTCCAGTCTCATGTAATAACTGCGACAATGTCACTTTTGAAAACGTCTCACTTGCTGCAGTGTTCATCAAGGTGTACAGGAAACTGAAGAAATGTTTCGTAAAATGTGTTCATTCAAAAAACGATAGTAACGAAACTGCTGAAAACGAATATGCATTAATGAACGGAAATATTACATGAATTATGAATGCTTTAGGAATATTGATGGTCGTCGTTCGCTATCGCAGTGATACATAAATGAAAATTATGTATCACTGCGATAGCGGATGACGACTATCAATTCAGTGAGTTACATGAATTATTCAGTGAGATACATAATTGAAAATACTATTCCACTAGTGAAACTCATTCGCAAGTAATTCAAAATCATCCAGTTTCAAGTAATTCTTTCACTATTTTCAACATGATATTCTTCATTCCGAGTTCTTGTGACGTTTGTTCGCGATTTCCGGATCTGTGATGCCTCGAAACAGTTATTCGACATGACATGTCGAATTTGTTTATTAACGTTTGGCCTATGACATCAAATTGTACGACATGAAAGCTATATTCTCATGGTAACGATACATCAGTAGTTATCTCCTACGCAGCTGCAGCAATGAGCAACCACATATAGCATAAGCGTTAATGATAGCAAAATACTGTCCAAGGTAAACTCGCGCCTTTCCACTTCTCAACTTATTGTCGTGACCAATTGTTTGCTATTCTGTAAAGAGCAATTATTGATTTGAATCGAGCAATGGGGCTGGAAATGTGAAGGCTGAATGGTCATCTATCACAATGACTGTGTTTAGCGAAATTTAAAAATTTTGAATTTGCCATTTAATGAGAGCGCGACGATCGCGTGCCGACAAAGAACAATTAATTGAATGAAAAGAATTCTCGTTGCTGACGTGAATCAGTGATTGTGATTGGTTCGTTAGCGGGTGCATTCAGCCTCATTCATTCTGCTTCAGTCGTCTCAGAAGATGGCGAATGCTGCATGAGAATGACACGGGAACAGTTACATCAGATGCCAGGCTTCCTCAATGGTCAGCTAATTCCTCTCAGTCAACCATACCAGGATATTTCCGTTCCTTAAACATTGTCGATTCGGCTGATTGCGATGGAATTCACTCGGAATCAGCAGTGAGCGCCTCACAAAGAAATGGCAGCAATATTGAATCGATTCGTGTTTTATTCGATCGACCATTCCAACAGATTTTCCATTTTCTCGCATAATTTCGATATTTTAGTTGAGATTTTTTAATATGAGCTTGCATTGCGTGCTACCTCATCACTTATTAATGAGAAATTACGTTCAAGGAACTCGACGGATTTTTGAAGGCTTATGAAGGCTAAACTCGCCGGATTTGAAGGTTTATTCAACACACAAACATCTAACAACGTCGAAATGCTGTCCTCCGTCTCATGTCTTTGCGAGATCCATGCAAATATCAGTCCCTTGCCTATCACATCAGGAGACTGATATCTGCATGAAAATTCTTATTATGGAGTCTTAGAAATTCTTATAATGATTAAATTATTACATGTCCTTGAATGCATCAGAAATTGAAACCCGTTTTACGCTCACCATTCGTTCATTGCGCTATTTTCCCACTGTAGCAAATAGACACTGAATATTAATAAGAGAGTACCGCCGTTTTCTCAATTTCGCGCAAGTTATAGCCAATGCGATCGCCCTCCAGTCATTCATTGGTAGTGTTTGATAGTTGGTCTTCTTTAAGTTCCAATTCTCACTATCAGCGAGATTGGAAACATTCGAAATTTTGTTAAGACGTGTTGTTAATCTTTTAAGTGAATAAGATGAGAACTGACAATGCAAAGTTGATAGTAATCTGTCGGAATCCAGCAGTGAAGTGAGCAGGCCATTTCCTTTCGTTTGGAAGAATTTCGAGAAGTGTTGCGATTGAATCTGATGTATTTGAAATGCGCTTAAGCAATCCGAAGATATTAACTCCCCTTCAACGATTGACTTCACGGTTTACGATGTTTCAGGGTACGATCTGTGGCGTTTTCTTCAGATGCATATAGCTGTGGCCATTGTTGTATGTGCATTTGCGTGCAAACTTGTTTCATCAATGCCATCAGAAACTAGATCAGAATCACCTTCTTTGTGGGATCACATTGCTGGAACTTCTTCGTTTATTGGCAGGTATCGTTCTCAAGACAATGTGATTACCTTTAATGACATTATATTCACAACAACAACTTTACCTTTTCATGACTTTTCTACTGCAATGCAGAATATATGACATTTTTCCTTCGCCGGTCGGCTATCGTCATTCTGCCGTTAACAACCTAGGGCGATCATCAGCCTGAACAGGAGACAACCTTTAGCCTAAGAATAAACCTCAACCTAATCCCAACATGAGCTTCAGCTCAGTTTCAGAATAAGCCTCAGCCTGAGCCAGGGTTAAGTTCAAAACTCAGCCCAAGCATAGGCCTAAGCTTAGGACTAAGTCTAACCACAAGCCTGAACTTCATCCTGAGCTAAATCATGGGCGCAAGCCTATACCTAAACCTGAGTTGAAGCCTAAGCCTTCATTATATTGGCTTGAGTAAATAAATTTTGCTACCGTTTAAAAATCTAGCAGAAGAATTGGCGACGGACATGAATTTTCGATAATTTCTGCAAAAAAAAAATCCAAGTTAACCGAAAATCTAAGTTCTCCACAAGCGCTATAGTTGGGCCTTGAGTAGAAGTCTGGAAAGAGATATGCCAAAACTTGGTGATGACAAGAAGCAAGCGCCAAAACTTCTGTAATGTATTCAGTTACAGTATCAGTGTTTTTCGGAAAACCTTTCTCTTTTATCGTTGATATTTCAAACTAATTTCATTTTGATTTGTTTTGAAACGAATTTCAGTTAGAAGAACGATCTATCTGTTTTCAATTTACAGTGACGTCGATAATGATCGTAGTGATGGATCGTGGGATATCTCAGAAGCTGAGCCAGTGTTGCAACGACAAGCTAAACGGAGACTAAAGGTCGATCGCAACTGCTTCTTCAACCATATATCGTGCTACCGCAAGAACAGAATGGATTCGCATGCATGAAAACGACTGAAATAACGACTGAAAAGCAATATGGCAATTCCTCAACTTAAAGAGATCTCGTCATTATTTGTCTGCATCCTAAACTCCTCAAGCTCCTATCAGTTCTCCCTGGTTTCATCAACAGTATTCACTCACGCATACCAGCTTTCAGCATTAGCATCCAACACGTGTTAAAGTTTCTCAAAAAGTTTTTTTTAGAACATTTGTAGACAGTAGGGATTGAATGAACTTAGAAGAACATCGATCGAATGGATGGATGCCACAGTTTTGTTTGGTCACATACATCTCATTTGATTTGTTCAGTACACGTTATCAGGAAAGAATAAATGAATGCCGCCGCTTTGTCAACTGCATGCTGATCCCTTCATTTCCAGCTGATTCACAAAAACACAACCACTCTCACGCAGCACGCTTTTTAGACCTAATTTTCTCGGAAATCTACTATTCACAGAAACAGAATTACTCTCACGCGCCACGCTTTTTAGACCAACTCATTGAGATCGCTGCATTGTGCATAGCACAACGAAGGGTTCTGTTGAAACAGACATGTCGAAATATTTACGCACAAATCGTTCACGTAATCAAAGTTTCACTGAAATCTTTGTGAATCAAATTCGAGGCATAAACCTCATAAATAAGTTTCAAATCAGTCCTCTCAAGTACTTGAGAATAAACTTGACAAAGGACTAGTCCCCAAATACACTTTCCCAGGTAGAGTGATTGTGCTGCGAATTTTATAATTCCGTTGTACAACGCTCAAGAGTGGCGTGTACTGAAAAGGCAATCCTGTTAAGAGCACACTCAGTTGAACAACGCCCTTCAACTAGAACTGATTTTTCCCGTTCAAATCAAATGTAATTCATGTCAGTTGCTTTTGCTTTCTCCCTCAGAAGTATAACCACTAAAAGCACGAAAAAAAATCCACCTTCGAAAGCACATCCACGACTGCAAGCAAGATGTTTTAAAATGCTCAACACGAGAATTCGCTTTCTTTACAGTGTTCAATAATTGAATTTATGTTCAGTTCCACATTCCACACTGATTATCGTTTGCAAAGGGCTAGATTCAGCCTGAGGAAAATTTTCTGCGTTTCACTCAGTGATCAACAATCATGGATCACAAAAAACGACGTTTTGCTGAAATGACGGAATGCGATTGTAAACGAGTGAATGTACCAAGTGAAAAGCGAACAGTTGGTACTAACAGTCACCAGAAGTGGATCCAATTTAAAAAATGCATTTTGAACCAATGAAATGCGATGAAATATCAGCAGAGCGCAACTGTGTGATATTTATAAAAATAAATAAATGTGACCAGATTCTGTGCCGATCAAGAAAAACTTCGTGATGTATTGAATTTGTGACTGCTTTTCCCATAATCTTGCTGGCATCTTTTTTGGACATGGTCTGTAAAAGACATTCATTCAATGAGCTTTCGGACTGATGCTTTTCCCGATATTCTCATGTGCAGACAATCACTCAACATGTATTTCCCCAACAATGAATAGTTCCCACTTTCTTCTCTGAACTTTCACAGCGCTTCGTGTTCGACTGCTCTTTCATGGACCTCGAGTGTTCTGCTGGTTCATTTGCCTTTGTCATTGGCATAAGTTTTGGCATAAGTATGATTCGTAAATAATAACAGCAGCTGAAAGTCATCTGGAGAAAAACATATCACCCAATAAAGCATGACAATCACAAGAAGGCAAACGGTTTCATGTCGACAAAACCTTATGAACGTTGTCGAGTCGAAATGCGATGCATTCTATGTGAACGTAAAACCTGAAATTGACTAATCATTATTCTGTCCACTTCACTTTATTTGCGCCTTAAGGTTGTTTGTTTAACGTGATGAATTCGAAATTGATAATAATAACTTCTCTCCCGTCGGGGATACGGGTCACTGAGGTTGACGCCGATTAAACTGTTTCTATTCACTGAGCAATAATGTATCAATTTTAACGCATTAAGGAATAGTTCCACCGTTTTTTATATTCACTCTTTTTACTCTTTCATATCCACTCTTTTCCACTGTAATCTCTCTGAGATTTTTTGCTTATTGACGCTGCTATTGAATTTTCTTATTGTTAGCATAACGTCTATTCTCGTTTATAGTGTCTCTCGAATGCAAATTAAAATTTATTTCAGCCTCCTCCGTATCCCGTCTAAAATGAATGTCTTCCCAACCATTCCATCTTCCTCAGATCTGATGCTTGTACAAAAACTGGATTCTCCTCTCAGCTGATTCGGATCACACTGGTCCATTTATCGTCATTATCATTCACTCATTATGAACATCAATCAGATATATTTGCATACTGACTATATCAACGATTATTTGAGAATCGCAGAAATCTCATGAAGGCAATTATTACTCATGATAGATGTGAACACACCCCTGCTCATGAGCACTGGGTGTGTTTACATGTGTCATGAGTAATAATACCGGAATTTCGTAAATATCTATGTCAGCAAGTCGTGGCTGAACTCCGCTATCAATTACACGTCAGCCGTACTGAAATAGTCGTTTTCTACTTCGTTAGGACAGTTCGGACTGCATCTTATATTAAGTCGTAACGATTAGATTTGAGTTTATCAGGTGTGTTTACCGTTCCGTCAAGCGCCAATTCTATTGACTGCCCTATCCGACAACCGTAAAAATTGATGATACCATAAGCGACTGCGAATCTTGAATGGCTGAAAACTCGCCAAGCCTATTCTATTATATGGCACTATTTGGCAGCGTAGGCTAAGTTGTCAGTATGCTCCGGCCTCTTTCCAAAAATTTCGAATACCTTACTTTTGTTGCATTTTGAAACAGGCATTGCTGCAAATGTTCGCTGTGCAATTCGAAGTGAAAAGCGCTCTTTCGAAGACACCAAATCAAGGAGATCACCATCAAAACAACAATGGTCGTCAAAAATTCTTAGGCAATCGTTTCAGTTTCTTAAACAATCCGAAGCATTCTTGAGACGGCTTCTTTTTTGTGAGCCATTTCAGTCTCACTCCCATGAAATTCGATACTTCCGCGACGTTCGAAAACGATATTATCTTGCTTTTACGAGCGACAAAAAAACGTGGAATTTTACGAATTCGTCTTGATCCGGTTCAGTTCTCAATGTTCATCGGAGAAGACCAATATCACTATAATAATCTCTCTGAATGGTTCCATTGGTTCTTTCAAAATTGTTCATGTGAAAAATGGGTGCACTCTTTCGAACTCGTGTTCTTTCGCTTCTAATCGAATCAATCGCATGCAAAACTCTAGCTCTCGATTCAACAGCACTCGGCCATCAACTGATTATGCGACAGGAAGTTAATCTTTTTCCGGACATTCTTCAAAACCTTTTCGCGACAGTTGATGATACTGCAAGAATGCCTTATCTTATTGCAAATCTGATTGTTCATAGAATTTCTTATTTAACACATAATCGATTCATTCACTTTGATTTCTTGTGCATATTGCCCATGCATTTTGCTGCTAAACCAATGCTTCTCAACCTTTTCCCGCCGCATCCGCTAGAAAATTTTGACATGTCCTCTCATCCCCTACAACAATAGTTAAAATGTCCTCGCCTTCCTCACAACATCCACTTTTTATCTCTCATTTACTGCAGTAAGTGTCTGTAGTGTAGATAAGTGTATACAATTGAAGTGCGTTCCAGCCTTTTCAAAAATATATGCACGTTAAAGTCTATCCTCGCCTGCTTTACACACATGTAAGCATTGAACTCCGTTCACGCCTCCTTAATGTACAGAAAATGAAATCTTATCTGGCAACCCCTGGAGCACCATCTCGCACTCCTGGACTACCATTTCGCACAAAGCTTTGGCACAAAGCTTCTCAATTGGGGCTGCGAGCACCCCCTCCCCCTCCCCCTTTGAGAAACTCTCGGCTAAAGCTTTCAGTTCAGCATGATTCAAAGATTGAGTGTTTGAATCTCTAAAACGATAGTAGTAATCCTCTGCGAAGTAAATTAATCATTCATTGCTGAGGTAATGCTCATCAAAAGGCTGCTTAGCAAACTAAACAGCCACTGCTTAGTTTAACTGGAAAGCTTGTCTAAATTACCATCGTATCTGTTCACGACGTTCAACAATGCTCACAAATATGCGATGATTATTGAATGTGACTCCAAATTTAATTGTATGTTTTATTTCTGGCATTATTTGCTTTGGGTTCATTTGTCTAATCGTCGTTTTTGACTTGTAAATCGATTTTCTTGAAACTCATCAGTCCAGTATGAGTTTTTGACTTTTTGCATCATCTATAACTTTCGTTTACTGCTCGAAAGTTTTCGGTCAATGTCACAGACGGCTACCAGTTTGCCATCCAGGTTTAATCCATAACATATTCATGGAACCATCTCATTTCTTGTCACCCACCGCTCAGTTTGCTTGTTGCAATAGCAACGACTCTGAAGTGCATAGCATCAGTTAACGTGAACCTCACAATAAGTTACCACTATTGAACTGGTCTTCTGGTCAATCTCACGATTGAGAAAAATGGTTAAATGCATAGTTTGAGAGCGATTTTGGAAAGCTCAATGAATAGTTGATGGTGAATAGTTGATGGTGATGCGAATGTTTCCAAGTCAGTCTCTTAAGTCGAATTCGACTGGCTTAGATCAATGCAGGAGTAAGTGCTACCAAAATGGTTTGCGTCACACACCGCCCAACACCACTTCATTACGTTCCTATTTTATGATCAGTAGCATAGCATAGATAACTAACAGTTGTACGATGCATTGAATTGTTTAGATCCTGTATTATTCCCCTTGTTCCACAACTTAAATCATGTAATTTATCAACAATTTTACTCCCTCTATTTTACAATCAATAGATGCCATTGATCGTCAAGCAAGTGGGGTGCACGGCTCTCTGATTTCTTGCTCGAGGAATCAGCTGCACACAGTTTGCAAATGATTTTCATTCCGAATGCTCCTTTTTGTTGAAGCAAGCAGACTAAATGCATACCGCATTGCACTGTTTGAATTCATT